CGAGAGAGCCGATCTCCTGGCCGCTGCTGGGCCGCAGGGTCCACCGCCCTGGCACGTCGCCTCCCTGGACAAGTGCGTCGAGCAGGTGACAAGTGCGCCACTGCCGTAGAAGGCGATGACCTCGCAGCCATCAAGAACCATACCGCAGCCGACAGGACGAATGGACGCAACTTCGAGCCGACCAGCTGTTAGCCAGGCCCCTGAGCGCGAGTCCGTTGGCCGTCGCTGCCCACGCGGATGCGCGGGGGGCCGCCGTCGAGAGGATCTGTAAGCAGATCGAGGCGAAGCGCGCGCGCGCGCCCACGCTGCCACGGAGTCTGCCGATGCGAGGAGGTGCAGCTCACCCAGTAGAGGGCCGAGCTAGCTGCGCACCATGGACGGCGCCGTGCCCTCCTTCAGTCGGCGCCCAAGCTGTCAGGGCGTGCCCTTGAAGGGGTGGTGTCGTCGGTTGAGGCGTCGCCGCGCCCGCTGGGCGCGCTCGCCCGGGCCCCGGGGGCGCCGCGGTCGTTGCGCAGTCAGACGGCAGCGGTGTCACATGGGCCGTGCTAGGCTACAGAGCAAGTTCGTCAGGTCGCCGCCAGAGCGGCCGGGGCAGGCGCGGCAGACGACGATGCTGCGGGACCCTCCGGCGTCGACCTCGCCTCGCTGACGTGGATTCCCCCCGCGAGTGTCCCGCCAGGAGGAGGAGGGGGGCCGTGCCTGTGCAGGCGAGGGGGGCAGTGCCAAGGTCAAGCGAACGCTGGGCGCGCAGCTGGAGCTCGCCTGGGCGATGCGTCCGCGGCCCCCCCCACTGCCCCTCCCGCTGAGGCGGGCCCTGCTGCCTGAAGAACGCCTGGTGGTGGGCGCGATGCCAGCGGCCGCCGTCGGCCCTAGTCGGGGCAGCTCACCCTGCCCGCAAGGATGACGCCGGGCGCGGTGCGAAGGCGCTACAGACCCTTAGAACTGGCGGCCGCGGGTGCGACTAGGTGACAAGAGGTGGGGCAGGCTTCGGAGACCCGCGGACGAGTGGCCCCGATCAGGCACCCTGATTCCAATGGGAACCAGGTTCACCTGGCCAGTGGCCGAGGCGAGGCGGCGGCCGCGGAACGGCCAGTGCGGCCGTTGGCCGAGTTGCGCCGCAAGGGCCCAGGCCGCCGCCATGACGTCGCAGCAGGTCGCCGACGCGCGCGCGCTGGAAGAAAGATCAGGAAAAGGGCCGGTCCCTCATGGGGCAGCGGCGGGGAGAGGCAGCGGCAGGAAGGGCGCCGGCGGCGCGGGCCGGGCAGCTGGGCAGCGAGCGGGGCAGGCGCCAGGCGGGGTTGCGAAGCGGCGGAGGGGGGTGAGTTGCGCCGCGCCAAAGCTAGGCCGGCGGGGGCGGCGGCCGCGCCCAGGGGGGCGCCAGGAAGGGCGCCGCAGCGGAAGCGGCGGGGCGGCGAAGAGGGGCGGTGCCGCGCCAAAGTTAGGCGGGCGGGGAGCGGCGCCAGGATGGCGAGCGCGGGGCGACGACAGTCGCGCCCAAATGGGGGGGCGGGAGGGCGAGAGCGCCAGGGGGGCTCGCGAGAGGCGCGGCGTGGAGCCCAGCAAAAAGCAAGGAAAGAAAGCCGGCGGCAGGCCTGACGAGGCCGGGAAAGCCGGCGAGAGGGCGGGGCGCGGCGGGCAGGGCGAGGGCGGCGAGCGAGGGGAGAGATCGCGGGGGGGGGGGGGGGGGGGAGTTGGCCCCCAAGCGCAAGCAGGGGGCCTGCGCGGGGACCACCGAGGAGGGCGCTCCGCGGGGCAAGGCCGCCACGAGAAGCGCGGGGGCCGGACTCCAGGCCGCGTGCGCAGCGGCGCAGCCCGGGAGGGCGGAAGGCGGCGCGCGCCCGACGAGGCACGCCCAGAAGGCCCACCCTGGTGCCATCGACGGGCCGCCCGCGGCGAGAGCAAGGCGCGCCGCCAGCCGAGAGGCAAGGCGGCGCGAGGGCGAAAGCAGAAATGACGCGCCGCGGGCAGCGCCGCTGAGGGTCCACTCAGGGAATGGAGCCGAGCCAGAGTGCGGGGCCAGCCCCGCCGGGGTGAGGCAGCGAGCCGCGGTCGCGAAAGCGAGGCCCCGGCGGGGAGGGCGGGCAGGTCCGCGCCCGAGGCCGCCAGCCGGCTGCGGACGGGCAGCGAGGTTGGGGATGAAGCAGCCCAGGGGCCAAAGAAAAGCACGGACGCCGGAGCCGGGCGATCGCCGCTGGGGGCCCACCCGGGGGATCGGCCAGGCAGAGAAGAAGAGGCGCCCCGAGGGGAGACGCAGCGGCGCGGACGAGCTGGGGGCTCCGTTGCGGGGCTTGGCTGGCGGCTGGCCGCCGAGAGAAGCCGGGCGATCGCGCCGAGGGCGCCCCAGGGCATCGAGCCGTGCGAGGGCGACCGGGCGCCGCGGGAGTGAAGCTGCGGGCCGCGGGGGGGGCGACAGCGAGGAGCCAACGTCAGACGGGGGCCATGGCAAGAGGGCCGGAGCGGGTAGCCCTGGCCAGGGGCCAACGCCGGCGGCGGGCACGTC